TCCTGGGAGATGGTGGACGGACCGAGTCCGTAGGGAACCTTACTGGGATTGTGGTCTCCCATACCGGACGGGGTATGGAGATCTTATATGTTTTGGCACCCATACCGGACGGGGTATGGGGACGGCCCGTTTCACCCTCATACCGGACGGGGTAATGAGGTCTATGGTTTGGCGCCCATACCGGACGGGGTATGGGGACGGCCCTGGAATATGATTTCAAGTGTTAAGGATTAACGGGTAGCGGGACCCCTATGGATCCCCATGGATACTAGTGGGCTGGTGAATTATGAAAATATGTTGAGTAACGATTGAATTACGAAAAATGTGATAGGTATTATGTTATACAGTTCATATATATGTTTTCATGATGATGATGATGTTATTGTTTTCGTATATTGTTTTATGAATTTCACCGAGGTAAGTGAATGGTAAAGGTTTTATTATCGATAAAAGGATTTGTTGTAAATTATGCTCCATTGGTCTTTTTGTGTTTTCTACCCACCTTTACCTCCGTGACGGTGAGATATCGTGATGTCTTTACTGGGCTAGTGTAGCTCATTCCTTATTTAATCATTTCAGATCAAGAGGACATCGTTCCCGAGCCGGTTCTGCAGGAGGACGACGAAGGGGACGCCTAAAGACTCCATAGTCGCATTCGTAGTTTTTACTTTCGAGTTTTATCTCTCACGTAGTTTGATCCTTTATATTTTGTGAGCACGTTTTTGGTTTTGGTGTAAGGGATGTTATTCACATTTTGACTCGCTTCCGCATTTGATATTTTTAATATACATTCCATTATAAATTTCCGGGGTTGTTACAATAATAAAAATACTTATTGGTTTTTTTATAAATATATGTTTGAGTTATTATTTATTTAAAAAATTATATTTTTACTAAAAAAATATAGATATTTGATATGAGTTTTTTATATTATACCCATATATATTATCGTGTATATATATTTGATACGGGTTTTATATATTATCGTGTGTATATATGTATATAATAAGAAAAAAAGAGATTTATACTTTGTATATAAGTATTGAAAATCAGCAAATATTTCCTCCACTAGTGTTTAATCTAAAAGACCCTCTAATTTGGTCTTGACATTACAAAAAAAAAAATGTTCATGAAATTTGGTGAAAGAATTTCAAATATGGTTTCTAAAAAAAAGAATAAATAAGCAAATATTTAATGAATTATATATGACTATAAAAGAATTTAAACATATAAATATATGTTTGAATCATAAATCGTGTATTATTTCAATATTATGTTATTATTATTTATTTAAAAAAATATAGATATTTGACATGGGTTTTTTACATTATACCCATATATATTATCGTGTATATAGATTTGATATGGGTTTTATATATTATCGTGTGTATATATGTATATAATAAGAAAAAAAGAGATTTATACTTTGTATAAGTAATGAAAATCAGCAAATAGTTCCTCCACTAGTGTTTAATCTAAAATACCCTCTAATTTGGTCTCGACATTACAAAAAAAAAAATGTTCATGAAATTTGATGAAAGAATTTCAAATATGGTTTCTAAAAAAAAGAATAAATAAGCAAATATTTAATGAATTATATATGAGTATAAAAGAATTTAAACATATAAATATATGTTTGAGTCATAAATCGTGTATTATTTCAATATTATGTTATTATTATTTATTTAAAAAAATTACATTTTTACTAAAAAAATATAGATATTTGACATGGGTTTTTTACATTATACCCATATATATTATCGTGTATATATATTTGACATGGGTTTTATATATTATCGTGTGTATATATGTATATAATAAGAAAAAAGGAGATTTATACTTTGTGTATAAGTATTGAAAATCAGCAAATATTTCCTCCACTAGTGTTTAATCTAAAAGACCCTCTAATTTGGTCTTGACATTACAAAAAAAAAAATGTTCATGAAATTTGATGAAAGAATTTCAAATATGGTTTCTAAAAAAAAGAATAAATAAGCAAATATTTAATGAATTATATATGACTATAAAAGAATTTAAACATATAAATATATGTTTGAATCATAAATCGTGTATTATTTCAATATTATGTTATTATTATTTATTTAAAAAAATATAGATATTTGACATGGGTTTTTTACATTATACCCATATATATTATCGTGTATATAGATTTGATATGGGTTTTATATATTATCGTGTGTATATATGTATATAATAAGAAAAAAAGAGATTTATACTTTGTATAAGTAATGAAAATCAGCAAATAGTTCCTCCACTAGTGTTTAATCTAAAATACCCTCTAATTTGGTCTCGACATCACAAAAAAAAAATGTTCATGAAATTTGATGAAAGAATTTCAAATATGGTTTCTAAAAAAAGAATAAATAAGCAAATATTTAATGAATTATATATTACTATAAAAGAATTTAAACTAACTGTAAATAATCAAAATCACTGTTTCTGTTGTGTGTGTTTTGAGTCATGAGTTTCTTCTTCCATTCTCTTTTTATTGTATGGATCTTGTCTTCAACAAATGAGGTTTAAGTCTGTCCATATCTGATAATTTAACTGGCTTCAATATAAACTCCTCTGCTCCTTGTTCTAAACAACTGTTTATTCTTGATGGGATATTCTCTGATGACATGATCACTACCGGTATGTCTTTAAAATCTGCAGACTCCTGCAAAATTATGTCATAATTTTGATTAATTATGTTGAAAAACACAACCGAATTGTAGGCCAAAAATTGATGATAATGTAGATAAGGAAGAGAAATTTTCTTTTCAGAAAAGTGAAATTACCTTGATCATTCTAAGGAGATCAAAGCCGGTCATGCCTGGCATACAATAATCTGTAACAATCAAATTAACTTGTGTCGGAGAAACTGCGTTCAGATCCTCATTATTCAACCCTAGAAATTCCAATGCCTTATTTCCAGAATCCACCGTAGTAACTGCATAAATTTGAAATTCCAATCAGAAATAACTTTCGACATAACCACTCGATTCGAATTGCAGTCGACGGACCAAAAAAAAGAGAAAGGGGGGAAAAAAAAAAAAAACCTAAACCTTGATACGAAGAGAGTTTGAGAAGCTTCGCGATCAATTTTCTGTCGACGAGACTATCATCGACGGCAAGAACATGAAACTGAGTTTGAGCAGGGAGTCCCATGACGATGACGACGAATTCGGCTATGAATTACGATGAAGACGACGATGATGATGATGATGATGATGATGAGGAGGACACGGAGAAGATGAATAGAGATTTAAATAACAAAACCTTTACAGTTTGGAAAACAAGATCCTGCAGATTTCCTACAGAATCTCCCGGATCTTCTACCTTCATTTTTGAACCAGACAACATCTTCATCTTGCCAACTCTTCTTTTCTGAATATAAAATATATTTTCTGTTCTGACTCCTGGATTGCCTCTTGAGCCAATTTGATTAGCGACTAAGTATGCTTTGGTTTGCTTAATTAGCCTTAGCGTTCATCTTAAGCTTAAATTAAATAAATAAAATTGAAGCTTCAATTTCCATTTAGGCCCAATATTATTTTCACTTTTGATTTTTTTAGTCGAATTTAGGAAAATTCCTTTATGTTTTTTCGGAAAATCGAATCCGATTAATTACTTAGATTAATATCAAAATTACGGATTTTGTATATCGTAGATCTTGTTCTCGTACCATTCGTTATTCTCTTTTTTTTTTTTTATCAATGATTGAATTTCGAATTTTAAGAAAAATCGAATAACTCATATATAGTTTATAATTTTCTTCTAATTTTTTAATATTCATGTCTTTTTCAGATTTTAAATCTATATATTAAAGTTTAAAAATCATATCAGATTTTTTTTTTCTGTCTATTTTTGTTATTTGATTTATTAATTTAATAAATTATTTAAAAATCTTTATATTATGAGTAGTACTACATTATTATTGATTATACTATCTTTATGTTACTATTTACATTTTTATCTTCGAAAAAAAGTGTAATGTTGGTCTTAAAAAAATTATTAGATTCATCTATGATAATATTTTGAAAAAGTAAAAACAAATCTCATAAGAATATTGGTCAAAATCCCTTACAAGCTCTTTATTGTTTGAATTTTTTCATCCAGTTTTTACATTATTTTTAAATCTGTTTTAATTTTGTATTTTAAATTTTTAGCATATCAGTTCTCACATCTAACTATTGTTAAAGAGTCGTTAAAGGCTGGACAGATGACCGATGACATGTAAAAACATGACATTAATGACATGATGCATAACATAGGAGCCATATTAGATTAAAAAATTTAAAATTTCATTTGGTCCCTGATATCTTCCTTTCTTCTTGTCATCTTTCTCTGAGCCCTCCTCTTATCGTGTCCTAATCTCAAGAAAACCCACACATTAGGCTTGTTCATTGTTTACTCATTAAACGAATCCTTTTCTAAAACTGAGTCCTCTTCCTCCTCTTATACCTCTAAGTGCCATATTTTTCCAAGAATCCAAACCTAATTTACGTCGACTTTAATACTTTTCTCAACATTATATCCATGTTCTTTGGTCATGGCAGCGTTGGTGTTTCCAACAATCTTAACTTGGTCCTCCTCTTAAAGATCTTGTTAGAAGTAAAGTACACAAACTTGTCATTTTCTTTATTATTACTATTATTGTTCCAATTTTTTCCTGTTGGTCCTCCTCCTCACTAATTTGAGAATAGAGTTAGTAATTGTGTCGAATGATACTCAGTTCATTGAAGGGGAATCTAACATGAGCTTACACAAATACAGTAAATACCAGTGTATCTAATACAAAAAATAAGAATCGGGATCCATGTTTCTGGAGGTTGTCTATTTCAAAGGCAATCTCTCCATAGCCTTTTTGTTTTCGCTATGAAGTGATGATATTTTTTAAAATGAGATTTGGAGATAAGAAATCCAATATGCTTAAATCTTTTTTCTTTGTTGGCTATACACTAAAGAAGAGGTTTCAAGAAGCTCTTGATCATGGCTACTGGTTAGTGGCAATTATGGTGGTTGATAATTGTCTAAGCCGTTTTTTTGGTGCTGTTTTAAGGTACACGTGACAGATAAGTTGGCCAATCCATTCTGTGAAAATATTTCTCACGAATCTCATATAGCTTTTTCTTTTGGTCCCTCTAATCTTGTAGTTTTTTATTATGTACAATTACACGTATATCTCACTTGTAATTATAAATGTATTTTACAAAATTTGGATCAATATAAATATGAAATTTCAATTGATGAAAATAATGAATAACTATAAGAAGGGACTCAAAGAAAGAAGATGACAACAATGAAGGAAAGAACTGGGGAAACCAGATGGAATTTCAAGTTTTTAATCTAATGTGGTTGTCATGGTCACATCATTACTAACATGTTATATTTTTTTATATGTTGTCAACCACATATGTAGCTGTTAACAACCTTTTAACGATAGTTAAAACTAAAAATTAATATGGTAAAAATTTAAAAATATGATTAAAATAGACCAAAAAATAATATAAAAACTTATATCAAAAAATTCAAATAACCAGGAGCGTACAAAAGATTTTGGCCGATATTCTTCTTAGATTTGTTTTTATTTTTTCAAATTATTATCTTAGATGAATCTAACAATTTTTCTTAACAACACGT